GCGCTTGGGGCCGGGGGCGCGCTTGGGGCGGACACGGGTGCCGGGGGAGTCGGCGCCTCCGCGTTTTGCGAGCAGCCCCGGGAGGGCAGGCGGCGGCCTGGGCCGGGCCCGCCCGAGTTTGGGAGCGGAGGAGGACGCCGGGAGGGGCGGGCCGCTCTCCTCCGCCGCCTTTTTCCTTTCCTTTCCTCCTTTCCCTCCCTCCCCGCCCTCCGCCCGCTCTCCTCCCTTTCGTCCTCCTCCTCTTCCTTTTCTTCCGCTTCTCGGGCTCTGCTCGCTGCTCTCTCGGTTCCCTCCGCCCACTCCCCCGCTCATCCTTCCCCTCCTGGCTCCTGGCTCCCCGCCGCCCTCGCTCCGGTCAGAAGTCCGACTCCCTGCGCGGGACTCCACTCAGCGCCCCAGCCGCCTCTCGGTCCGACCTGCTCGAAAGCTCGCCCTTCCCCACCTTGCAGGACCCGCCGGTGCGCCTGGCCGCGATGCTCAGGTTTTATGTCACTCCAAGTGCCTGTGCCCTAAAATGCCCAAACCCTTTCCCCCGCCCCAACGCTGCTTATATATGACAAGAGCAACGGCGTGTTTGTAAATCATCGCACACGGACCCTGCCACCTGCCTCTGTTTTTCACCTGCATCTTGTATAGACCTCTAATGTGCACGTGGGATGATGGTTAAAGGACTTTTCCTAGTTATTTATCCCGTTACTCGCTGGCTACTATAGTGACAACGTTGATTGTCAGCCTTTCTTGATTTTACAAGTCCAGAACCTTAATTTAGAAATCATTTTGCATCCTAATTACTGCAAAACTGGCAGGTGCAGAGTGCAGCCAGAACCCTTGTAAATTACCAAGTAAAACTGCTTGTGAAAGGGTAGCTGGCGTGGATCTGCAAAGGACGCACGTGGGGATGTACCAGCTAATCATTCGCTGAATATTTATTAGTTTTGCCTCCAGGATGCTAAAATACATAAGGGAAACAACCATCCCCCAGCATTTCACTATTGATTCACCTCATTGCAAGATTCACTAAGTTCACAAAACAACTACAGGAGCTGAAGAACATCAAAAAAACCACGTTGTTTAATCCTTCAAGAAGTTTAGGGGAAAAAAGAAAAGGAAAAAAACTTTGAAGGTACATGTCACCTTAGAGCATATCACAAAGATCACATAGGCTACCACGTTTTAAGATTGCCTAATTGAATGCTTGGTTCTAGAAATGTAGTGTAAGCTATTGACTGACCATTAGTGGAGTCTGCACTTTGCAGGCCCATTTACAAACTCTTGAGCCAAAGTTGTTAGTGCTTAAAGAGACTGCCCCTGCTTGATACTCGGGTCAGAAATTTCAGCAGTCATGGCAGCCACTCCAAGCCAAGGAGGCAAAAAAAGGAAGAGGCAAGGGAAGGAATGAAAAGCAGGGCATGGTGGGAAAATTGATCAAATTTTCCACAAAACACTGTAAGCATCCCTCCCAAGCCATGGTTGTTTATTATTTAATTATCATAAATCCAATTGAGCACAGTAGAATGAAACACCCAATTCTTTCCTCATAACCATCTTTTTTTTTTAATATCTATATTTATTTATTTATTTTTGTCAGAAATTTTTTTAATTTTATTATGTTATGTTAATCACCATACATTACATCATTAGTTTTTTTTTTAACAGCAAGACATCCCTTTAATTAACTGTCCTCTTTTTTTTTTTATTCTTATGTTAATCCCCACACATTACATCATTAGTTCTAGATGAAGTGTTCCATGATTCATTGTTTGTGCATAACACCCAGTGCTCCATGCAGAACGTGCCCTCCTCAATACCCACCACCAGGCCAACCCATCCTCCCACCCCCCTCCCCTCTAGAACCCCCAGCCTGTTTTTCAGAGTCCATCGTCTCTCATGGTTCGTCCACCCCTCCGATTTCCCCCGCTTCATTCTTCCCCTCCCGCTACCTTCTTCTTCTTCTTTTTTTTTTCTTAACATATATTGCATTATTTGTTTCAGAGGTACAGATCTGAGATTCAACAGTCTTGCACAATTCACAGCGCTTACCAGAGCACATACCCTCCCCAGTGTCTCCTCATAACCATCTTAATTTAAGAGTGGTTCTCACACATCTTATGAAGACAAGATTCTTTCTATTTCCCTGAAGCTTTGATGTAATGGTAGAAAAAGAAAATGGCAGAACTGGAAGGTGGGGTTGCTCATACTGTAATCCCTGAGCAAAGAAATAGGGAAGATGAGCTAAGAACCAAATGGGCTATGGCAGCCGCGTGATCATCTCCCAGGTGTGGAGTGGAGTGACTGATCTCAGCAATGGGTAGACCGGATAGAGACAATAGATCCCTTTTCTTTCAGGTTGTGGCTTTGCTTTCTTGCCTCAGTTATTACTGTCGTTCCTTGTGGGTATAGCAAGAACTAACTAGAAGTTGGTTGACTGATAACTGGGCTAAGCTTCAGTGGTCAATTCCCTCAGCTTAGCACACTTGTGGGGGCTAGGGGAGGGAGATGCACCTGGAGCACGATTCCCAAGCAGTGGGAAGGACTATGGGAATGTGGGCCACAGTTTGCCCCTGCAGCCCCCCTGAGAAGTTTTGGTAGCACTGAATTGGAGGGGTTTACAGAAAGGAGGAGAGGGAGGGGTCAGTCAGTCCTGGGCATTAGTAATTATTTCAGAGTCAGCTGCTTCATGGAGAAAGTGCAGGAAGGAACAGGGAATGGTAGACTGAATATAGAGTTTGTCAGAACCCTCCTCTGTGAGCCCTGCCTTTGAGAAGTAAGCTTGAGACTCTTCGGAGAGGTGTTCTTTAGACCAGCAGGACCCGGAGGCTGTGGGCTGGTATCAAAGTCAGGCCGCAAAATGGTGATTTCAAACCAGAGTGGTTTACTTAAAACCAATAATCTTTATGATGCAACCTAAAACGTGTTGCTCTATGCAGATCACCAGTCTGTTTTCAAACGGATCAGGCCATTATCAAATTGAGCAATAGGAATTGCTTACACGTATAAAAGCTTGATTCTGAGATTTATAGTAACCAAGATAATTTAAAGACTCGTGGTTTGCTCTATGCACTTAATCCAAGGTTTAGGAGAGCTGAGACAACTGGTGGAATATATAATTACTTAGGCAGTTTTTAGAGTTGGGGTGAATGACAGGTCTCATGAAATGTGTAGAGGCAAGATCTAGCTGGGGAAGTTAGGTTGCTAGGTAAGTTAGGGAGGAGGATAATATATCATAGGGATCGGTGGGTCAGAAGCCCCAGTCAGAGGTTAATACCAGGGCTGCCAGGATGGTTGTACAAGGGGAAGGAGGGGGGCACCTGGGTAGCTCAGTCGGTTAAGCGTCTGCCTTTGGCTCAGGTCATGATCCCACCGTCCTGGGACTGAGCCCTGCATTGGGCTCAGTGCTCAACAGGGAGTCTGCTTTGCCCTCTGCCCTTCCTCCTGCTTGTTCTCTCTCTCTCTCTCTCTCTCTCACTCTGTGTTCTCTGTCTCTCCCTCAAATAAATAAATAAAATATTTTTAAAAGGGTGGGTGGGATGGAGGAAGAGTTACTTTTCATTGTGTCCTCTCTTGTACTTCAGAAAATTTTTTCCTAGTTTAAGAAAAAAGGTAACTTTTGAAAGGCCTGGAAACAAAACACCATAGATTTTTTTTTTTTTAAGATTTTATTTCTTTATTTGACAGAGAGAGCACAAGCAGGGGGAGTGGCAGGCAGAGGCAGAGAGGGAAGCAGGCTCCCCGCAGACCAAGGGAAGTCTAATGTGGGACTTGATCCCAGGACCTCAGGATAATGACCTGAGCCAAAGGCAGTCGCTTAACCAACTGAGCCACCCAGGCGCCCCAACACCATAGATTTCTAATTAGATATATTGTATTAAAAGAAGTCCATAATTTGCTCATAAGTAGAAGAAACATGATATAAAACAGTATTCAAAGTAAGATTCCATTTTTTATTTTTTTTAAGATTTTATTTTTTATGTGTTAGAGAGAGAAAGAAAGAGTGTGTGGGGGGAGGAGCAGAGGGAGGAGAGAATCCTAAATAGACCCTGCACCGAGTGCAGAGCCTGACTCGGGGCTCGATCTCACGACCCTGAGATCATTACCTGAGCCGAAATCCAGTCAGATGCTCAACTGACTGAGCCACCCAGATGCCCCAAGATCCCATTTTTTTTTTAATGTCTGTACACTTATATCTATACAAATATAAATATGCTTGTGAATGCATGCACACACACGTATATAAAGGCACATACATCAAAATGTTCATTTAAGTGACTATCTCTGGATGGTGGGAATCTAGATACTTTTCTGCACTGGAACAGAAGTCTTTGGCCTAGGACTCATATTTTGAAAGGACATTAGAAGCCATAATTTGTTAATGTTTTCCTCTAATCAAAGAGGAGGCATTTATTATCTTAAACACAGCAAGTTTTATTGCCAGAATTTTGTTGTTGCATGGAGTAGGAACCATACCAATATGAATGTCAAATATCTGAGAAGTCTGTTTTAAACCATCGACCCTCACCTCTTCCTTAGCTCTAATCCACAACGGGGGTCGATCCTGAGTGGACTGCCCAAGGAAGCTTCTTGGTGTCCAATGTTTCACCTACCCCCTTAAAGTGTTTTTTCTCCACTTTCATCCAGCTTCCTACAGTAACCATGG